TGCTTTTACTACTAGGACACAGACCTCCTGGGTTTCCCTGTGTTATTCACATGGAAATAAGAAATTGGATCTCTCGGTCCCAGGGAGGCCAGTACTGTCCCCAGGTGCCCTTTTGAATCAGATTTTGTTCTTCAAGCTCATGGGTCACTCACCAGCTCCCTTCCTTTCATGTAGTGAAGACACAAAAGTACACACAGGTGATGTCAGAAATCTGTCTCCTTGAAACTACAGGAAATCTTTGGATTGTATCTCTTGACTGTTACTTTCTCATCTTGGTCAATTTTTTTTTCCTTTCAAATGCCATTTCAACCACTATTTGCTTTCAGAATTACAGCAGCAGGAACTCATGAATGAATAAGGATTTCTGGCCTGTGCCTGAGATCCAATGAAAAGTTATAATCCAATGGTCTCCATGGAAAACCCAAAATCCAACCTAAAGCAGAGGTACTAATTCTAAAAAAACTCTCCTCTTCCTATTTCAAACCCTGGAAAAAACACAGCATTAGATATGTGGCAATGGTGAGAGTCATGCAGTGCTCACAAACACAATTAGAGAGATCACCACTACCTGGAGGGTCTGGACTTGCTGGCCTGAGGCGGATGCCACCTGGGCCTCAGTCTGCAGCTGCACAGCAGTGACACCACCCTGCTGCTGGGAATAGGAACAGGAATAGCTTGAAACATGGGAATGCACAGCTCTGACAAGAGACAATGACACTTTGCTGGAAGAGGGTGAATTTAAAATTCATACACACTGCTCTTGGAACAAAAGGAATGTGAATACAGTTAGCAAACCTAGGAAAGGAACACCAACACAACTGGGAGTGGTACCACGAGGCTTCAATATCCCAAACCAAAACCACTTCCAAAGAACATGAGAGATTATCTTACACAATTTTAAATCTCAGCTTGAGTGTTTTAGCCTGCTGCCTTTCTGCTTAGTGTTTCCTTTCACTGCCCAGGGTTTCTTACTGTAAAGGGGTTCCAGATTATTGTCAGACTTTTAGCTGAAATAAAGGCCATAAATTCCTTTCTGCAGAGATGACTACAGCCTAAACTTCATCTGTGTCACCCCTGCATCTGTGTCTTCCTACGACTGACCTTGAAGGACAATCTTGAGAGGTTGCAAGAGCAGATAAATCTAAAAGCCTTTTCTATCTTTAGCCTCTTTAGTAAGAGTACCAAAATAATCTGTGTTAACTGTGTTAGCATTTGGGAGATGAAGGACATCTCTCTCCTAAAGCTGTACTATGAAAGGCCTGTGAAAAAAACCACTTTTGGAAAAACATTTCATGTCAAATACAATGCAGGCTTTAAGAACACATACTAAAAATGAAACTGGAAAAAGGTATTTGTTATAGTTCTTTACATGTAACTTTTTAACCTCAAGTACAACCTTGTTCTGGCTGAAAAAGTCAACTTCAGCTAAACTCAATGGAAGAAGCTGGTTCCCACTATCAAACACTCCAACAGGCTGATGACAAAGCAAAGTAAATCTCCAGGGAGACCTTAGAGCAGCTTCTAGTGCCTGAAGGGGCTCCAGGAAAGCTGGGGAGGGACTTTTCACCAGAGAGGCCAGAGATAGGATAAGGAATAGTTTTAAACTTTAAGAGTGGAGATTTAGGTTAGAGATCAGAAGAAATTCTTCACCATGAGGACAGTAAGGGGCTGGAACAGGTTGCCCAGGGAAGCTGTGGCTGCCCCATCCCTGGAGGTGTTCAAGGCCAGGTTGGATGAGGCTTGTGCAGCCTGGGCTGGTGGGAGGTGTCCCTGCTCATAGCAGGGAGGTTGGAACCCGATGATCTGCAAGGTTCCTTCCAACCTTCACCATCTTATGATTCTGTCTCACTGAAAACATCATCCAGTGAATCATCCATTTGCATGACAAACTAAGAAACTCCTCTTGCCTTGAACTAAACAAACCTAAGATGCACTAAACATCAGGACCAGCACAGCTCATCTGACAATGTATTCCTGCTTCTGAATGGCTGAGGCTGAACACCAGTAAAATCTATAAGCCCTTAAACACACACCCCCCCCCGCCCTTCTCAGCTGCATATTTTAACATGAACTGGAAACTTCTTTCTGGAATGGATGAATTCACCCAAAGCCACATGTTTTGTTGCAATTCCTGCACTGTGTTTTGATCCACCTGGAGCTTTAAACCAAAAGATATTAAATATTAATTTTGAAAAAGCTGGAGGAAGCCTCTGTGGGCTTTAACAAAACCTATTTCAATTTTGGGAGGAATCTACATTGTTCCTTGTGGACAACTGACTTGTTATTAATATTTTGTTTCCTCCACTTTCAGACAGGATTTGTGACTCTCCCTCATGTCACTAACATTTTGCAAACTCCCTATTACATTGAGATTTGGAAATGTTAGCAATTTAATTTTATAAGTCATTTGTTTTTTTAAAAAACACACACATTTACTCTGACTTCAAGTCAGATCACTGATGAGGTGACAGAAGTCTGGTAAACACATATCCTGACAGTATAATGAAGCACCTTGCTGGTTCTGTGACTCTGAGAAGCACAAACATTTGTAACTCAGCAGTGGCAAGACCAGCTCACCCGTTGCCACTTTCCATACCTGCTGCTGAATCTGCCCAGCCTGCACCACGATCTGCTCCGTGGAGCTGTTACTGTTTGCTGTGTACTGCTCCATAGTGCTTCAGCTCCAGCACAGAAAAGACACACCTCAGGCTGTGGATCTGGCAAGACAAGTTAAAAAAGCATGTGATTATTGTCCCAAGGTTTGAAGATGAGTATTATCTAACAGTAGCTGAAAAGTAAACCCTCTGCTCACACTGTGGTCAGAATCACAAAGAGCTGCTGCTTAATCAAGGACCTACCTCTTTGATACTGTCACCTTACTTTCATTGAGTAACTAAACTAGAATTGCAATTTCAAGAGCACATAACTGGACTGAGAAGCAAAAAGCATCTCAATCCCATAATTATCTTCAGTGAACCAACAGCAGCTATGAACCTGACGTCTTCCTGTTTTATCCCTCAAGTCTGTATATTCTGGGCTACAGACAGTTGCCTACACTGCACACGGGTGGAGGAGAGGGGTGTTACAGCTAAAAACCCTCACAAAATACAAAGTTTAGCTGTAAAACCAAACTACATTTCAACAATTCAACAGACAAGTGAAACTCTCCCTCCTTCCCCAACTACTCAGCACTCCCTCATCATACCTCTTTCTTCTCTTCCTACCTTCATATTTTTGAAAATAGCCAGCAGACTTCTCACTGCTTCCATCCTTTTACTGCCTCTCATTTCTTGGACCCTTGCCTACACATATGAAGAACACACTGTTTAAATAAAACACTCAGTTCCATTGCTCCCTTCCCCCTCACCTGTCAGTGACAAAAGTTATTACTGTTACTTTGAATCAGGTATTTGATTTATGCTATTACTGGACAAGTACCTGCTACATTAGTGAAAAAGGAGCCTAGAACTTCAACCCTCAAGTCTAAAGGAACAAAGAAAAAATGCCCCTTCAGTTTTCAAAGGCATGCATACAAAATTGGGTCTCAACTTCAACTGCCTCAGTTGCTGTGGTTACTACTCTAATGACACCTCTCAGAATTCCTGCTCTTTAGCTTTAAAACATCCTTTGTACTTCAGTGTCTTGCATTTATCTGAAGAACACTTCATCTTTTCATCAACTGACTCCTCACTGTGCCCTAAGAACAACCCATGATGATTTTACATTTTGTTTTCTTGCACACTAACACCGAATGTCCCTTTACCTACCAAAATAACTGATTAACCAGTACATATCATGATGGACCAGAGCTGTGCTCGTTACAGGAGGCATAATACTCAGCCATAATAATGTAAGAACCTTCTCAGTCCCCATCAGATCTTTTGTTCAGAATAAGGATGTAATGACACTAGTCCAGGAGATCATCACCTCAGTCACAGTACTGAAAGGCACTACAATTTACTGCAATTTTAACTCTATCCTTGGCCCATTTAGTAACAGCTTTTCACAGCCTGACAGAATAAGAGAAGAATATTCTTTCTGAAGATGAAGCTGCCTACCAAGGTTCTCATCTCAATTTTGCACTGTGTACTGAATTTCTGCCCTAAATGCCTGTGGGCCTGTCAGAAAACAGCTCCCACATTTCATTCTCCAGGGAAGTATTCCAAAAGCAAGCACAGGATGCCAGGAAACTGCCCTTGCCAAAAGTTCTCTGGTTTCCTTAACACCACCACCAATAATCAAACCCAGGCACACCTCTACTTGGGACTACTTCTTCTCACACACCCTAGACCAAGCTCCTGTCTTGTTCACTTAAAATATTAGCAGCACTGTAACCCTAACTCTCTGCACCAGCTGTGGATAGGTAAAGGTACAAACAGATTTTACACAAGCTGGATCATAGCCCTCCAAGGGATTGTTTCATTCCCCTCATTAAAACACAGCACCAGCCTCACTGCATCAAAGTGAAATGTTATAGATCAATGATCTGCTTCATGGTGGGCTCCTCCCACAGCTGATCTCACCACCGGGCTCCTCTTCACTAGGTCCTTGGCTGCATGAAAATGACTTTGTGTTCCAGCCCTGCCTGCTTATATTCACATATACATACATACACATTTACATACAAGCTATAGAAGCTGCAGCAACAACAGCTCCCTCAGCAAACAAGCTCCGCTAAGAACAAACCAGCGTGATAAAACTGTGCTAAGACCTGGGCTAACTCGGAAAGCATCGTTTTTAAACACACCCTGAAGTGACGTTACCAAACCGGCCGAGGTTTCCGGGGCAGCCCCTGCCGATCTCCCGGCCTGACTGATGTTCCCCAAGGACATCCCCGAGCTGGGGACACCCCACACAGAGCCACACACAGGGACAGGCCACAGCCTCATCTCCCGCTGTTAGGCAGAACGGAACATGTGCCGCCCAGATGCAGCTACCTCATCAAACACCCTAACTCAGGGAGTTCACCCAGGGACGTTCGTGTTTTACTGCGAAGCCTCAGACCTGCAGGTTCTCTCCGCGGGCCCAGGCGGGGGAGGCAACGCCCGGCAGCTCCGGGGTGGGGG